GGGCGGCAGCATGGTAAGCTGGGCAGATCCTATGTGAGCGGTCCACGCCAAGCAAACAGGAAGAGCAATTTCAAAAATTCCCCAGGCTTTAATGAGGGAGGGGCACATTCCTGTGTACCTGGCTGCAGGGCAGTTCAAACTGGTGACCAGAGTTGTCACAATGGGCATTGTGGGATACCTCCTGGAGGCCACTTAGGGAGACATAAGCAATGCAGTGTCTACACTGAAACTGTGTCACTTTAACTACATCATCTTAAGCACTATGCCTTTATTATGTTGGTGTAGCAGTAGAGTTGAATTGGCAGAAGGAGCATTGCAGTCTTTACACCTCCATAGTTAGGTCAACATAAGCTGCTTTATGTTGACTTAACTTTGTAATATGACTGTCAAGCGATTAAAAAAATTAATTGCAATTAATCACACTGTTAAACAATAGAATATCATTTAAATATTTTTGGATGTTTTCTACATTTTAAAATATATTGATTTCAATTACAACACAGAATACAAAGTGTACAGTGCTCACTTTATATTTTTGATCAAATAGTTGCACTTTAAAAAACAAAAGAAATAGTATATTTCAATTCACCTAATACAAGTACTGTAGTGCAATCTCTTTATCACGAAAGTTGAACTTACAAATGTAGAATTATGTACAAAAAATAACGGCATTAAAAAAATAAAACAGTATAAAACTTTAGAGCCTACAAGTCCACTCAGTCTTACTTTAGACAATCACTCAAACAAGTTTGTTTACAATTTGCAGGAGATAATGCTGCCCTCTTCCTGTTCACAATGTCACCTGAAAGTGAGAACAGGCGTTCGCATGGCGCTGTTGTAGTCGGCGTCGCAAGATATTTATGTGACAGATGCGCTAAAGATTCATATGTCCCTTCATGCTTAAACCACCATTCCACAGGACATGCTTCCATGCTGATGACAGGTTCTGCTCGAAAATTATCCAAAGCAGAGCGGACTGACGAATGTTCATTTTCATCATCTGAGTCAGATGCCACCAGCAAAAGGTTGATTTTCTTTTCTGGTGCTTCGGGTTCTGTAGTTTCCGCATCGAAGTGTTGCTCTTTTAAGACATCTGAAAGCATTCTCCACACCTCATCCCTCTCAGATTTTGGAAGGTACTTCAGATTCTTAAACCTTGGGTTGAGTGCTGTATCTATCCTTAGAAATCTCACATTGGTACCTTCTTTGCATTTTGTCAAATCTGCTGTGAAAGTATTCTTAAAAGGAACATGTGCTGAGTCATCATCCGAGACTGCTATAACATGAAATATATGGCAGAATGTGGGTAAAACAGAACAGAAGACATACAATTCTCCTCCCAAGGAGTTCAGTCACAAATTTAATTAACGCATTATTTTTTTAATGAGCATTATCAGCATAGAAGCATGTCCTCTGGAATGGTGGCCAAAGCATAAAGGGGCATATGAATGTTTAGAATATCTGGCACGTAAATAGCTTGCTACACCGGCTACAAAAATGCCATGAGAATGCCTGTTCTCACTTTCAGGTGACATTGTAAATAAGAAGCAGTCAACAGTATCTTCCGTAAATGTAAACAAACTTGGCATCTGAAGAAGTGAGGTTCTTACCCACGAAAGCTTATGCTCCCAATACTTCTGTTAGTCTTAAAGGTGCCACAGGACCCTCTGTTTGTCTTAGCGATTCGCTGAACAAGAAGTAGGACTGAGTGGACTTGTAAGCTCTATTGTTTTACGCTGTTTTGTTTTTGAGTGCAGTTATGTAACAACAACAAAAATCTACATTTGTAAGTTACATTTCATGATAAAGAGATTGCACTACTGTACTTGTATGAGGTGAATTGAAAAATACAATTTCTTTTATAATTTTTACAGTGCAAATATTTGTAATAAAAAATAATGTAAAGTGAGCACTATACACTTTGTATTCTGTGTTCTAATAGAAATCAATATATTTGAAAATGTAGAAAAACATCCAAAAATATTTAATTCATTTCAATTAGTATTCTATTGTTTAACAGTGCCATTAATTGTGATTACTTTTTTTTAAATCGCAGTTAATTTTTTTGAGTTAGTCACGTGAGTTAACTGCGATTAATCAACAGCCCTACTTTGTAGTGTAAACAAGCACTTAGAACACACAAACTTCCCTATAGGGACAGCATGAAGTAACCCTATGACTGTGAACAAAGCATTTAGTATTTGGAGCCCTAGATTAGAAGACACAGATTTTTGAAGAGTTTAGAAATTTTGAAGAATTTAGAAATTTCCTTTCCCTCCTCACTGTAGTTCAGAATTAAAGTTGATTGGGTGCTTAACTGTGCATTTCCATATCATAAAATGTTCGGATTTCTTTTTAATTTAACCTTAACTCTGAATTTCCTGAGTTTACAATGCTAGGTTTGGGGATAATTACAGCATCTCCTTAATGAATTTTGCCCTAAATTACTGATATGCACTTTCATCTTAACATAGTTTTTGTCTGGGAATTTTCTTATTTTGTTTTTTAAATTGAAAACTTCATTCATGAATAGTGTAAACAAGAAACCCAAAGAGACTGATACCATGTGATATTACTAATTATTTGAAGATATGAAGTATCAGCCTTAAAGCTTCTTTTTATTTTTACTTTGATTACAAGTTTGAACAGTAGGTCTGAGGCCAAACTCAAGTGCCACCAAGCAGTCAGAGCATAGTTGACAGTTAAGTTGGGTTTACAGCTGCTCAGTTTTAGAACAGCAAATCAATCTCTACCTCTACCTTCCCTCTACCTCCTGTCCTCCAAATTTCTCCTGCCTTTTGCAGCTTCCTAGATTTTTCCCCACATTCCCCTGCATACAAATACTCCAACTTCCCCTCCTTCCTGCATTCTCTTGCACATATGCACCCCATCTTCCCTTTCCCACCTCATACATTCCCCTGTACATACATGGTGTATACACACGCTCGCCTCTTAGTACCTTCCTCCCTCCTGATCTCTATGTTGAGAATATACGATGCAACAGGTAGCTTATGAAAATAAATATTTAAAATAGTCATTGGTTGCCATTATTTTTCATGACTGAAGGTTTATCTGTCAGTAGAGGCTGTTGATTAAAATCTCCTTCCAAAGAAATTCACAAGATTGGTCTCTTTCAAGATGGCCACACCATTTCTTATTGTTCCCTAGGATATGGAAGCACAGGGGCCCTTCAGGAAGATGGTGTTTCCCTATGATGTCAGGATAAAGAGGAATACTCAGCTATTTTGAAAGTGGGCAGTTCTTCATGCAATTCTCTGTAGTAGAACGTTTTTCTTCTGCCTCTTCTGGGAGAAACTGACCATTAACCCTAAAAAATTCATTAATGTAATCTATACACAAGATTACAGTGAATTTTAATATTTACAAAGTTTGAAGAGTCTGTGTCATTCTGTTATTAAGATTATATACCACAAAAAGGTTTGATAGAAGGTGTTATTTTTAAGCACCCTCTTTTTAAATTAATTTTAATTCCTAACAAATTTACTTATAAATTCTCAGAAAATTAATTCTGTACTCAAAGAGTAAATGCTATAACTTTGGGGAGGCTATGCTCTATTTTTCACACATATCAAAGTAACTGCATCCCTACTTTGCGTGCAAAACTCAATTCAATCTCTAGTATGGAGCCACAACTGGCACCTCCCTGACAAAAAGGTCACAGGACAGAGCCATTGGTGCTTATCACCAAGCATTCCCTTCTGTTTTGGTACATTTATGGTTGAGTTATTTTCTAGTTATGTTCCACTTAATTCCCCAGCAGTTTCTGACTCCTGGTTTATTTTCATTTCCCTTTTCTTGATTTTGTGTAGAAAGTGAGTAGCTAGCAAATGGCCATTCCAAAAAAATATAGATTTTCCACTGAAGGGAGTATCTGGAGCCTTGCAGAATACTGAATTTGCAGACTCCAACATTTTCATCCAAAACTGATTGCTTGATTCCGGTTAGCTCCCTCCTCTACACTTGTATCTTGGAGCTCAAATTCAGAAAATTTAGGATTTGCTGACTTCATAGTTTAAGTTTCCCATCCTCTACTTGCCTCCCTGGAACACACTATCAAACTTTTTTTTTTAACATGTAATTCAGATAGAGTGATAATTATACTGCATCCCCCTTAATTCATTCAACTTACAGTATCACTATCGACTCTATGGTTTAATATTGAATAAAAAACATTATTTCTGGAATAAATTGACTTGCCCTCGGTGAACCCATGTTGACTGAATAAATTGCCTAGGGAGGTTGTGGAATCGCCATCATTGTTCAACCTGCTCTTAAAAATCTCCAAATACCTGTCAGGGATGGTCTAGATAATATTTAGTCCTGCCTTGAGTGCAGGGGACTGGACTAGTTGACCTCTCAAGGCCCCTTCCAGTTCTATGATTCTAAGAATAAACCGTTATAAATTTATAACTGTTTTTGGTTCAACTTTCCTTTTTTCTTTCCACATGCATCTCTAGGGGCTCAAATATTCTGCAATGCAAAACAAAAGAATAACAAAATTCTATGTATTCATTTCAAAAACATTTCAAAGAAAGCCAAAAGAATAACAAAAGGTATTTTTCTAATTAGCCTTCTAAATAGATTTTAAAGTACAAGTATATTTAGTGGATCATGCTGACTTCTAAGATGAATAATGATTACTTATAATCTAATGTAAGGTTTGTCATGCCATTCCAAAAAGATCAGTTTAAACATATTTTCCCTTTCATTATTTCTAGCAATAAGGAAAAAAAGCTTGTGCCCCTTCAAATAAAATATTTTGCCTGCTGTAAAGCAACTTTTAAGAAAAGGCAAAAGGAAGAAATCAAATGTGAGAACTAAAAGCTCAATAAACAGGCTACAATTTTTTTTTTAAATCAAGAAAGTCTTCTTTCATATTTCAATATAAATTGCAGTCTATACAATCTTCAAATCCCAGTGTTTCAATCCCACAATAAATTGTTTTTTTATGTACTAGTAAATAGCTGAATTGGCATTACCTTCTTTTCTTCCTGTAATACTATTACTTCATGATACCGTGGGACATAGGGTTCATATTTTTTCTTGTCTTCCTTTTTGATGTTGACATTCCAATAATGCAGTGCACTTTCCCTTTAGAAAGTTTAAAGAGAGATTTATGAGTCTTCAGTTTTAAATGCCTGAACATGTAAATACGCCTAGTGAAAGCCTTTTGTCCTTTGACTATACAACAAACAGCTGCTGTTTGTAATATTTAATGAAAGCCAGGATTACTCACTAATGGGAGAGTGTAAACATATTGTACAATTACACTGTAAACCTGCAGAAGCCACACAAATCATGTTTCACTAATTTTGGTTTGTTACTTTTTCATATTCAAAACTATGTAGTCATTATCACAGGTTGAGTCTAGCAACAATGCAAAGGAGAAAAAGCTAAAAATCAAAGGCCAGACAAGTTAGGGTTTCTGTCCTATTAGCTATAGGTGCATTGAAAAGCAAAGCCTCAAGTGACTTATAAAGTTCTTACTTTAACTGTAGATTTAATACTGTAACTAATACTGTAATGTAATACTGACAAGATCTGCCTATTTATAGCACAAACTCATTTAAAATACTGAGAGGCTTTTGAATTTTATAGTGGCAATGCTCAGAAGAGAACCCCTTTATAATTTAAATATAGAGAGGCACAGATTTCAAGGAAAGGCCCTTAAAAACGATAAAATTATTTCTATTGGTTACTTAAAATGTCATCCTCTTGCCTGGCATTCCAAGAGACCTACAGAAGGCTGGAAAATGATTAAATCATGACAGATACTTGACTAACAGATTAACACCAATCAACTGTAGCTAAGGAATGTTAAAATTAGCTGTAAATATTTATCTCTACCACTTCCTAATCAATTCACCATTTATTCAAGCATCAGTTTTAACATTTAAAATTCTATGGCAGATATTACCTGGCCCTTATTCAGCAGATCATTTAAGCACAGGTTTAATTTTAAGTACATTCTAAAATTCTATAAACACAGGCCACGATTCAAGAAAACAATGAAGTACATGCTTAAGTCCATCAAGCATTAAAGTTCACTCTTCATAGAATTAAAACTTACGCCTACCTGCAGAGAATGCTAAACATTAGACCACTCAGACAAATTCTGCCCTCAAAGCCCATCCACAAATACTGATTGCCTTCAATGTGAACTGAATATGCATATCTCAGGTTAGTTTCTGGCCCTACAAGTACCAGATAGAGGGTTAAAAAAAAAATTCAAGTGTCTAAGAGACTTAGGAGCATACAGCGTGGTCTACACTTAAAAATTAGATCAACCTAGCTACCTTGCTCAGGGCTGTGAAAAATTTCACACTATGTGCAACGTTCTTTGGTCGACTTAATTGCTGGTGTAGACATATCTACAACAGCTGATGAATTCTTCCAGTGACCTAGTTACTGCCCCTCAGAAAAGAAGATTAACTACACTGATGGAAAGTTCCTTCCATTAATCTACGAAGTGTCTACTCTAGAGTGGTACTGTGGTAGAGCTGCAACACCATAGCTGTGCCACTGTAATATAGACATATACTTAGTCCCATTTTCAAAATTGATTTAGGCACTTAGGGCCAGATTTACAAATGTATTTTGATATCTAAAGATGCATATAGGCACCAAACGGGATTTACAGAAGTGCCTATGCAGGTTAGCACCTAAATACCATTGAAAGTCATTTTTAAATTAAGGGCTAATGTACAAACCCTTCTTTTTCATATGCCAGGAGATAAAGGACTTAAGCATTTGCTCAGTCACAACACAGTAAAGCAGGCACAAATTCATTTTTTATATAGCAGAATAGACAGTTAGTGACAGCCTAATAAGTGGAGTAAGACTGAAAAATCTTTACCCTGCTCTGAACATGGCTATTGACATATTACACTAGCCAGGCATGAGTATCACTAGAATATATTTCTCATCCATTGTCCTATGGTGTGCAGGTTTCCTATCGTTCAGAATTCAAGTTTTAGTCATAGCACACAAGAGCTTCTGAAGGAAGTTTATACTTTTGCAATCATTGACTATCCTGCTTGTCACTAAAACAAACCTTTTTAATTTTATTTTCATTGCTCCTGGACAATAAGCAACAAAGACAATTCTTAATGGGAATTTCCCAAGTAAATAAGTGGAATTGTCTGGGTAGGTGGCATTGTTTGGCAATCTTAACTGTGTATTTCCATACTTTAAGCTGTGCCCCTCGATTTTTAATAATTACTGGCTTGGGATGGATAACCAATTCTTTTGTATAATACAAGTCAAATCAAATAATTATGTCATTGAAATTAATTTGAAGACTACCTCTTTTTGGAATTCATAGACAAAGTAAAAAATGGCATATTTTTACTTACTGAGTTATGTCATACTCCCCAGGTCCAGGCCCTGCTTGAGCTTTAAATTCACTACGTTTTCCTGTTAGATTACCAAAATGTACTCCTTTATACTTCATGGCAGAATACGTACCATTCTGAAAAATAAAGATAAAGACATTTTACAGTTTGGGGGCCAAATTTTCTACCCCTGATCTCTAACACATACAAAACTTAAAAACATAGACAGATCTGTTTCCCCAAGTGTGATTCAAATGTTATTACACTGCATCTTGGTTTGTGTACATCTGAGCTGATCATAAAAATTCCAGAAAAACTTGTTTTTGTCTAAATCTGCCAACTAATCGAAAACAAAACATGTTGTGGAAACAGTTCCATTACAACCAAACTTCTGATGGCCCCAAGGGATGTTCCCTGCCTGCTTGCCCACCTGCTTCCTCGGCACCCTGCTAAGCCAGAAGCCTCAGAGCTTGGGAACACCAGCTCCCCTTCAGCTCACCAGGTGGGCTACTAAGGACCCAAGGCTTCCCAGGCTCCCCAGCAGCCTACCAGGCTGATTGCCATGGAGCTGGAGACTATGGAAGTGAGGACTGAATTTGACATAATTCCTATCAGTTTCACTTCTTAGTAGCTGGTGTGAAACTGACCAGACTCTCATTCGGGGGGCAGCCGGAAATCCCAGGGAGCACAGTTCATTTCGGAAACACCATGTTTTGGTGGAATATTGTGAATCTCAGTACCATGATCATGTTTGAGATTTTGGCTTGTCATCCCAAATTGGGAGAAAAATATTTCTTAGGAACCAAAATTCAGTTTCCCCACCAGCTCTAGTGTACATAGATAAATCGGCAAGTAGTATTTCTAAATTCACATCTCTCCTAAAATGACCATATTTATTTCTGTATTTACTCTAGTTAGGGCCCTCATTTTCACTTTCACATACAGAATAGCTCCCTAGTCAGACCTTGACACATCAGGTCAATGGTCTGTAGCTTTCTCAAAGACACATCCATAATTGATGTGAAAAAGCAGGTGCCCATTAGCAGTTCCCCTCCAAAATATATGGACTAATAACCCCATGTAACACAAAATACGAAAAGGACAAATATACCAAAACTTAGATGCAGCATTCTGCATCAAGTAATAACTTTAGCCCTCGATGCCACTCATCCATTTTCTGTCCAATTATACCACGTCTATGCAGCCACACACTCATCACTCTAGCAGTCAAATGCATATCCTCTCATATAACATTCAATGGACTTCAGATAAGGTAGACCAGAAGAGACAGGTCCCTTAATGAAGGGCATGTCAAACAATTTAAATTTCATCTTCATGTCACATTGTTCTGCCCCACTATCCATTCATGTCATGTTCCTATTTCACATTTGTGCCTAGGTCACTGGTTACATAAATAATTTACACACAGGTCATGAGTCTTAAATGGCTGGAGAAAATATGTAAAGCTGTGTAAAATTCACTAACTTTGGTTCACAGGGTGTTTGTGCAAACCTTGGTTTGGGTTGTTAACACCTGAGTTTTGCATTCAGGTGTACCCAAATATTGGAAGTAAAGACCAGTCAAGACCCCTGAATTTCACCCAATTTCATGTCAAACATTTAAAAGGACAAACATTAAGGAATAACTGTTAGGAACAGAGGCTGCAATTTATAAAAGAGTTTGAGAAAGTCTGGTATGAAATTCAATAGGAGTTGGACACCTGACCCTAAAGTATCTTTGAAAATCCCAAACAAAAAATATAAAGCTTTTTACAACAATTGCAGAAACTTAAAACCGGAACCAGAATGAACATAACTTCTTTCTCAGAAACATGATCCTTGGATACATATTACTGGTATACAAGACAGAAAAATTAGGTTACAGTGGAAAAGGTGGTATATTAGGCAGATATGGTAGCAGTGCCTCTAGTCAAGGATGACATAAGCCCATTTTCAGCTGCTTAAAATAGTGCTAAACAATCATTCAGGCTGAAATTTCCCATGCCTAGTCTTTGAGTTTTTTAAAACTTTTGGCAAAAACAGTTCAGCAATTTTTAAGAACGAAGTTAGAAAACAATAGGTAGCTTTCCCAATATTGAAAAAAAATCTTTGTTTCTTTGAAGAACTGTAATTCTTCCACCGTTTGGAACAGGGACTTGAGCATCAAGAGGAAGTCAGTCCTAGAGTCAGAGAGGTGCCTTTTGCTCTCCCCAAGAAAATCCACCCAGAACTTCTTGACTTATAAACCTCTGAAAATCATCATCACTTATGAGTAAGTGTTTTTTAGAGGTTTGCAGCTAGAATTTTCAGGCATTCTATCTGCACTAAGCATGCCCCAGCCCCACAGAACACCTACATGCTTATGCCCTGCGTATGCTCCCATGCTCCACTTTGGTTTCTTTGTAGTAGGCACAGAGCTGGAACTTCAGATGGGACACATGCACAACAGCATCCCTTTCCCTCTGGTGTAGGGGAAGGAGTCTTTTCTACACTTCAGCCAAGCACCTTCCAGTGACTAGTAAACTAGTAAACTTACTATTGAGCAAGACTTAAAAGGTAGGTAAATGTTCTCCTCATTTTACAGAAAGGGTACGTAACAGCTTGAACAAGAACACGTCTAGCATCCCTGGAACTAGAACCCTGACTCCAATATGGCTCCAAATCCCATCCGTTTAAGTGACACTGCATTTGAAAATGACTATTACAAATCTGTATGCTTGGCTATCTGAAACTACTAGATCACACTCCCTTCCAGAACCAGGAATCTAACCAAGGAATCTTGATTCCCAATGTTCTTCTGATGTCTAGAAAATAGTTGTGTAAGTCACAGGCAAAATGTGCTATGCCTCCCTCTAATGACTGGTCCACATAAAGGATAACAGCCTATTACTGCTATCAGTTACCCTCATAATATAAGTGGTAGAGATCTGTCCTGTGAATCTTGAGATCCTGAATTCAAACCTTGCTGATGACCCATGAGTCAGTCATTATTATTCCATGATGCAATGAGTGGGATTTTTTTTTCAGTTTGCTTTTCAAAAAAATATAGTAAATGACATTTAAAAACTACATGAAAAAGAACATTAAAGTTGTAAAGTCACATCTTCAAAAAAGTTAGCAGAATTGCAACCTTCTGAGTGTATGCATTATGGTACAGTCTTTAGTTACAGGACCACATACTTTTCCACATGACCTCTGCCTTATTCAGTTCAAAGAGTGGAGAGTGAACGAGGCAGAGGGTTGCAAGAAGTATTGTGTTTCAGGCACTGGACTATGACCTAGAACAGCTGGGTTCTATTACTCAATCTGTCATAGACATCCCATGAGATGCTGGGCAAGACTCATAATGCATATGCTTACAAAACATCAGAGAATACTGTTACTCTCATCTACCTGGAAACATGCGCACTCCTACTACTACTTGCCCAGAAAATAAAGCAAATAAACAAATTTGCTAAATAAACAAAACAAGTACCAGAATACTTGATGGTGGAATGCATATTTAAAGGTTTCATCTTCCCTATATAGCAATTCACCTAACAAATATAGTGCAGCATATATTTTCACACGTTAATCCAGACCCATCAGTATAATCCATAAATGGTTTCCACATGTTTTCAAATAGATCTCCCTTCCTTGCATATGAAAAAAATCATTATCCCAAGAGATGAGTAAGGCTAACCTCCATTCAGCCTCTGTTGTGTGAGCCCTGTCTTTCCAATATCTTAAAAATTATTCTCTTTGCCACCATTAATGGACTCTGCGTCCAGGATGCTGTCCTTGGTGAAATGTTAGTCCAAGCACATATACGAAGTTTGATTAGCAAAAGTCCTTGTTCAGAAGGATGATAGTCTTCCCTGTCACCTTTTCCCAATATGCACATGACTTCACAGATCTGAAAACATAGGGATACAATGTCTGACACAGTTCTGACCCCTTTGTCAAAAATGTATAATTCCTGGACCCATTCTACCCATTTTCAGAGGTGCCCGCTATAGATTAAAATTCAAATTTTACATAAAATTTTGTCAACTGTTACAAAACTAAGAAACCAAAATATTTTCCTTTCTTGTACACCTCTACCTCACTTTCACCTCCTATGACTGGTATAAGATACCACTATTATAGATATAGAAAAATTATATAAAAGGTTCTTGGTGAGCACTACATCTAATTTTCACAGTTAACAGGGCTTTAGCACCATCAGGAGGCTTCTGTCAGGCCTCATTTACTATTGTTCTAATATACTGCCACAACTGTAAATAATGCCATTGTTCAGATCTGGCTAGAGCGGACTTCATTTAATTGGAAAAGATTAGGGCCAGATCATCCTGTGGGGATCTGTGCATGGAGCAGAACCTTCCCACAGCAGGAAATGTCCAGTCCATTTGAACCACTCTGGCTAGGAGTCAGAGGACCCCCAATGTTTGATAGCCCTAAACTCCAACATATTGTCCGCGCTCTGTGGAGACATTGGGTGAGAATGGGCTCACATCAGTCAGTCTTAATTTTTTTGACCACTGAATGGGTGAAGTATAAATGTCCTTCAAATGGAATCCTGTCCAGAAGAACAGCTGCTGTGAAAATAGCAAGCTTGTGGGGTATGAACAAGGGACATTTTTAAGAATACTCAGAGCTATAGTAAGGATATCAAGGCCCATTAAGAAGGAAAATTGACACAGGTAGACTGTCATGTTACTAGGACATCATTTCATTCATATGCTTTTGTTTTTCTCTCAAGGGAAGCAATACCTGGCAAGCAAATAACTTCATACAGTGCAAGAGTATCTGGCCTATATTTAAATTCTATTCAGAAGTATATATTAAGGACACATATGTATTGAACTTTTTATATCCCAGTGGTTCCCAAACTTTAACAACCTGTGAACCCCTTTTACTAAAATGTCAAGTGTTGTGAACCCCCTCCTAAAAATGAATATTTCCAGGGATTTTCTCCTTTACTTGAGTATAAATTTATAAAAGCAGTGATCTTGGAAATATAAAATTTGTTTTATGACATGATTATTACCCATTATTTATTACACCTCTACCTCGATATAACACTGTCCTCGGGAGCCAGAAAATCTTACCGCACTATAGGTGAAACCGCATGATATTGAACGAGCTTTGATCCACCG